TCCAATTGATCATTTAGGGACAAAAAAACTAATTCAGAGATAGATTTCCCCCATCTAACGGTCGGCGAAACACTCAACTTCGCAGCAGCAGCACGTACCCCTCGACGTCTCCCGAATGAAATGTCGAGAAAGGAATACATCAGGCATATGAGGGACGTTGTGATGGCAGTCTTCGGTCTGTCACATACCGTCAACACAAAAGTTGGTTCTGATTTTGTCCGGGGCGTCAGTGGAGGTGAGAGAAAGCGAGTATCTATCGCAGAAATGGCCTTGGCTGGCTCGCCACTCTGTTGTTGGGATAATGCTACACGCGGCCTTGATTCTGCGTCGTCTCTGGACTTCGTCAAGGCGCTAAAGACGAGCTCGAGGATCTTTGGTACTACTCATGTTGCGACGCTCTATCAACCCTCGCAAGCCGTATACAATTGCTTTGACAAGGTTATGGTCCTCTACCAAGGGCATGAGATATACTTTGGCCCTACCACAGACGCGAAGCAGTATTTCGAAGATATGGGCTGGTATTGTCCTGCTAGACAAACGACCGCAGACTTTCTGACGAGTATAACCAACCCAAGTGAGCGGCAAGCACGGGAAGGGTATGAAGCGAAGGTCCCGCGGACTCCCGAGGAGTTCGAAGTGCATTGGAGGGGCAGCGCGAGCTACAAGCGACTGGGTCATGATATCTCAAGCCACGAGGCGAGATTTGGTGCTGACTGTGGCGCTACCGAAGCATTCAAGCAAAGTCATGCCAAACGTCAGGCTCGGTACGCACGGTCAAGCTCACCGTATTTGATCGATATCCCGACACAGATTGGGATATGTGCTTCCCGGTTTTACCAACGTGTCTGGAATGACATTCCTTCCACATTAACTTTGATGATTGGTCAGGTCGTTTTTTCCATCATCATTGGGTCTCTATTCTATGGAGGCGCGTTCGGAACCGAGGATTTCACTCTGAAGATGTCAGCATTGTTCTTTGCCATTCTGCTTAACTCGCTTTTGACCGTCACCGAGATTCAAAATCTCTATGCACAGCGGCCGATCGTCGAAAAACAGGCTTCGTATGCATTTTATCACCCTTTCACGGAGGCTTTAGCGGGAGTTTGTGCCGATATCCCTATCAAGGTCGGATGCAGCCTTATATTCAACATCGTGTTCTACTTCATGTGCGGGTTTCGATACGAGGCTGGTCCATTCTTTGTTTTCTACCTGTTTGTCACCATGGCTCTGCTTTGTATGAGTCAAATCTTTCGCTCCCTGGCTGCGGCGACTAAGGCGATCCCTCAGGCACTCGCTGCTGCCGGAGTCATCCTACTCGCTACTGTTATCTATACCGGCTACCTGCTTCCCCTACCCAGCATGCACCCTTGGTTCAAGTGGATCTCTTACATCAATCCACTAAGATATGCATTTGAAGCGCTGGCTGTGAACGAATTCCATGGACGTGACTTCCCCTGTTCGGACCTGGTACCACTCTACCCCGGGTTGACTAACGGATCAGGTACCTACTTTATATGTGCTGCGAAGGGTGCGGTAGCTGGTGAGTTATATGTAAACGGAGACAACTTTCTCTCCGTCAGCTACGGATACGAATACAGCCACCTTTGGAGGAATTTCGGTATCCTCTGCGCTTTCATCATTGCTTTTCTCGCCTTGTATCTGTTACTCACTGAGATCAACTCACAATCTTCATCCACGGCGGAGAGTCTTGTCTTCCAACATGGTCGCATTCCCGTTGCCCTGGAGAGATCTGCAAAAGACCCGAAGGCCGCCAATATCAGCGCAAGTCAAGGACAAGAGGCGGCAGGCGAAGAGGTAATGCCACCGCATCAGGACACATTTATGTGGCGTGAAGTCTGCTATGATATTAAAATCAAAAAGGAGGAGCGCCGCTTGTTGGATAAAGTCAGTGGATGGGTGGAGCCTGGCACCCTGACTGCATTGATGGGTGTCTCGGGGGCTGGAAAAACAACACTACTGAACGTCCTCGCCCAACGTACTTCAACAGGAGTCATCACAGGCGATATGCTAGTAAATGGCTCTCCTCTCTCTGCTAGCTTCCAGCGCAGCACAGGCTATGTTCAGCAACAGGACTTGCATCTTCATACTGCGACCGTTCGTGAGTCTCTAAGGTTTTCGGCCCTGCTGCGTCAACCTAAATCAGTCCCCGTACAGGAAAAATACGACTTTGTCGAAAAAGGTATTTCCAGATTCTTTCAAGTGCTCTAGAAGTTTACTAAAGTAGTTCTAGTCATCACCATGCTCGGAATGGAAGAATTCGCAGAAGCAGTGGTAGGCTTTCCGGGCGAAGGGTTGAATGTCGAGCAACGGAAGCTTCTGACCATTGGCGTTGAGCTTGCCGCAAAGCCCGCTTTACTCATCTTCCTCGATGAGCCAACCTCCGGCTTGGATAGCCAGTCGTCATGGACTATTATCGCGCTTTTGCGTCGGCTCGCATCTAGTGGACAGGCTATTCTTTGTACGATTCATCAGCCATCAGCCATGCTGTTCCAGCAGTTTGATCGGTTATTGTTCCTGGCTAAAGGCGGTCGTACCGTTTACTTTGGTGATATCGGACCAAATTCACGTACAATGCTGGATTACTTCGAGACAAAAGGTGCGAGGAGATGCAACGACTCTGAAAATCCAGCCGAGTACATTCTCGAGATTGCAGGTGCAGGGGTGAATGGCAAAGCCGAACAGGATTGGCCGACTGTGTGGAAGGAAAGTTCCGAATTTACCCAAATGATGAATGCTCTGGAGAAGAAGTGCTCAGCTGTGGGATATGCCAATAATACCGACAAACAGAGTGATTCAGAAGGGACCGCAGACGCCTTCGCGATGCCTTTCGGGGACCAGTTCGCTGCCGTTCTCCGCCGGATCTTTCAACAGTACTGGCGGTCACCCGAGTACATATATGGCAAGCTGGCCTTGGGCATCCTGTCAGCCCGTAAGTTACTCTTGCCCTTGAGGCTCCATTGACCTTCGGCTAACTATCGTTCATAGTCTTCGTAGGCTTCTCGTTTTACATCCCCGGTACCTCCCAACAAGGCTTACAGTCGTCCATTTTCTCTGTTTTTATGATCACAGCAATCTTCACCGCATTGGTTCAGCAGATCATGCCTCAGTTTATTTTCCAGCGAGACCTTTATGAGGTCCGAGAACAACCGTCGAAGACCTACCACTGGGCAGCCTTCCTAGGCGCCAATCTAATAGCTGAGATCCCTTACCAAATGTTCGTCGCTATCTTGGTCTATGCAAGCTTTGTATACCCCGTCTACGGCATCGCAGACTCCCAGCGCCAGGGGATCATGCTCCTTCTGATCATCCAGTTCTTCATCTACGGGTCGACCTTTGCGCACGCCGTGGTTGCTGTTCTGCCTGATGCCGAGACAGCTGGTCTCATTGCCACCATGCTGTTTAACATGACACTGGTCTTCAACGGTATTCTTGTTCCTCGCGTCGCGCTTCCTGGATTCTGGGATTTCATGTATCGCATCTCGCCAATGACCTACCTCGTGAATGCCATCATTGCCTCGGGTGTGAGCGGTCGTGCGGTCAACTGTTCCGAGAAGGAACTGAGTGTCTTCAGCGTTGCCCCTGGGTTTGATACTTGCGGGCAATACTTGGAAGCCTACCTCGAAGCGGCCGGTACTGCCGCAGGTAAGCTTCTCAACCCGGAGAGCACAGACCAATGCAAGTACTGTACCCTTCAAACCGCTGATCAGTTTCTGGCGAGTCGGGATATATACTATGACCAGCGATGGCGGAACTTTGGGCTCCTTTGGGCATACATTGCTTTCAATGCTGCATTTGCTTTTGCTATCTACTATCTTTGTCGGGTGAGGTCGTGGAAGAGCAAAGCCTGAACGGTATTTTGTTTTTCGTGAACATTGGTTTTAGAGGTTTATATTTGGTCACATTCGGTGAGGATATAATTGAGCAAACACCGGTCTTGCATATAGTAACAGTTTAATTAATTACGTTTTTTTTCTTTTTCTTATACTCGGTTCGCCCACTAGTATACAAGGCAGGGGTACTCTATCATCTGATAAGATATATAGTTCTGGCTACTACTAATTACGATGAGTTAAAATACGTATTCAAAGGCCATGTTTTATTAGTGGGGTATAAATGACGAGGGGCCGAGGCCGGAGGTTCCTGTGACTAGGGGGAGCACCTAGAATCAGCCTTCGAAGTTGCCAACCTAGTAGCACAAATAATACTGCTCCTATTGCATTTATGATGCATTGAGAGAGTTGTTCCGCGTTGGTTAGATCCCGACATGTTTGAGTGGCTTCGGGACTGTGGCCCTGGAGTGGAGCAGCGTGAAGAAGCCGGCAGAGAAAGTCTCCGCAGAGAATGAAGACACAGACTCAAAGACCGTCGATAAAGACACCCTTAAGAAAACACGAGATTAAAACTGGTATATCTATGAATGGGCCGAATGGACACTGGTTGCCAACATCGACATCTCTTCGGTTAGATATAGCCTTGAGTTATTGTGCTGTGGAAGAATAGACAGGTTGTATCATGCGACCGCCGCTTCCTGCATCTTTGACCCTACATAGTTGTTGCGCTTTTAAAAGCGCTTATACTGGACTACCAAAACATATTACCTCCTTCAACCCCAGTTTTCGTGAGTACCGAAAATGCCACAGATGATATATATTCGGTCGCTGTGCCAGGAACCAGCGGCAGACCACCCCGCAACCCCTGACGACTACACCCCAACAATAAAGTTAAACTTCTTACAATCTGTACATATTCATCGGAATTGACATCATGATTAGGGGTGAAGTACGAGATTCATCGCATCCGTCCGATATTCCGCGCCGCGGTACACCAACATTCATGATGTCATCACGGAACACCGGGGACACCAATGCAACGCTGCTAACCCTATCAACAAAGACTTCAACCTGCGTTACTATCCTACCATTTTTCTGTAAAGAACGCCCAATTGAGCACGCTGGTGGGGAAGATATTTCTGCGACATTATGATAGGGGTCGCAAAATGGCTATACGTGGCTGTGACGACGTATTTCCACAGATTGAGCCCGGTTAGCCATAACTATCCTATGTTGGTCACAAGGGATAATGGCACGAATGGGAGTGTGTCGTCGCCTATCACGTTGACTGTTCAGGAGTCGGGTGGGAATCAGTCTAGTCCGCTGCTTTATGGGGTTATGTTTGAGGTAGGTTCCGATGGAGGTATAATGAATATATTAGTAACATTCGCCTAGGAAATGGACCATTCAGGTACTACCCAATTACCCACCTCACCTGGTAGAATGCTGCTAAGTATACACAGGTGATGGTGGCATTCACGGGCAATTGCTCCAGAACAACGGCTTCCAGGGAGACAATCCTGGCTTAACTGCATACAAGCCCATCGGGGATGTCGACCTCATGCAGGACATGATCAACCCAGTCAGCAGTGCCATCACCTCTTCTTTGCAGGTATCTGTAAACTTCGAAGCAGATGGATTCGTAGGGTTTGCCAATACAGGGTACAATGGTATACCTGTGATGAACGCCACGTACTCATGCGAGTTCTGGATGATGGGTGATTACTCAGGAACCATTATGCTACAGCTTGCTGGGTCAACAAATGATACTATATATGCTTCGCATAATATTACTGTCAAGAGCCTGTGGGGAAAGTTCACGCATTATCAAACCTCGTTCAATTCCAGCGCGTCTCCTGATGGTGACAATGAGTGGCGCCTGTTGTTCAATGGATCGAAGATGGCTGGCGGGACGCTGAACTTTGGGCTGGTGCAACTATTTCCGCCTACGTATAAGTCAAGGTATGTTTCGATCTATATTATCAATGCCCTGCTAATCGGTAGCAGGTCAAACGGGCTACGGAGCGATGTTGCGACATTCCTAGAGAAAATACGTCCGTCTTTTCTCCGGTTCCCAGGTGGCAATAATTTGTAGGTACTCAATCCGATTATGAAGATCCTCTAACAAGCGGATAGGGAAGGACTACAGATTGACAGCCGGTGGCAGTGGAACCTAACTATCGGGCCCGTCGTTGATCGTCCCGGGAGAGAGGGTAGGCAACAGCACCGACACCACGGATGACAACACTAATCGATGCATAGGCGACTGGTTCTACCCAAATACCGACGCGCTCGGTAAGCCTTTTGCATTACCTCACTCTCACGAGCGTGTACTAAGAAATAAAGGCCTGGACGAATATCTCTGGTGGTGCGAAGACATGAATATGGAACCCATCCTCGCCGTCTGGGACGGCAAATCATACGGGGGCATCATATCAGGCGACGAACTGCAGCCGTACATCGACGACATCATGAACGAGCTCGAAGTATGCCTCCCATCAATCACTACTACCCTCCCCAGCTGACCGTGAAGTACCTCCTCGGACCCCCTAACTCCACCTACGGTAGCATGCGAGCACAGAACGGGCGCAGCAAACCCTGGTCAATAAACTACATCGAAATCGGCAACGAAGACGACTTCACCGGCGGATGCGACACATACCCAGATCGCTTCTACCAAATCTACAACGCCATCAGCAACAGTTACCCCAACATCACTCTCATCGCATCGAACATCGACTTCCTCTGTCTCCCGATCGACTCCCCACCCGGCCTGATATACGACTACCACTACTATCGCAAACCAGACGACCTTGTCGCCATGTTCGATTATTGGGACAACCAGCCGCGCACACAACCAATCATGGTAGGTGAATACGGATGTCGTGACACGGACAAGGCAGACGGTATCTTCTGGTCCTCTATGCAATGCAGCTGCAGTGAAGCGGCGCATATGATTGGGTTGGAGAGGAACTCCGATGTGGTAAAAATGGCGGCGTATGCGCCGCTGTTGCAGCATTTCGGGTATACGCAGTGGTCGGTGAGTTTGCCCCCTATACCCATCTCCGTATGTATATCATGTTTCAAGCTACTAACGAATGTCAAGCCAACGCTTTTTGGCTTCGACTCTAGTCCCGACTCGCTGACTCCCTCGACGTCATATTATGTCCAACGGATGTTCTCTACGAATAGGGGGGATACGATTATTCCTGTGAATACAACTGCCACATTTGGACCGCTGTATTGGGTGGCGTCGAGGACGAATAATACGTATTTTGTGAAGTTGGCTAATTACGGTCCGAAGAATCAGATTGTTCGGGTGAAGGTGCCACATACGAAGACGGGGCATGTAGAGATGCTGTATGGGTCGCAGAATGCGACGAATTACGTGCATAATATTACTGTGCAGCCGACGGTGAAGAACATGACTAGTTCAAGCGGAACGTATTCGGTGGATATGCCACCGTGGGGAGTTGCTGTGTTGTCGGTGTCGTGAGGGTGGTACTGCACTCTGCTAGTTTTCAGTGTGGATCGGGTATCTACGAATCATGTTCTTTCGTGTGGTGTAATAGTTGAAGTTATCATGGAGTTTAAAAGGATGGATTCGTGGATTAAAGAATAATCTTCGTCTAAAGTATATACTACATACAAATCGCTTTCACAACGTCCCTTGCATCTGCAAGCTGAATAATATACAGCCAAAGTCACCAGTGACTTATACGCTTAGTAAACGGGAACCTTGAAGGCAGGGAAGGTGTAGTAGAAAGTGTCAGCACCCTCGTCATCGGACTCACACTCCCACTTGTTGCTCTTCCAGACGGGACGCTTGGGGAACTGGCACAGGGACTGGACCTCGCCGTCGTATTTGCCAGCATCGACGGTGGCGTTCAGACCGGTAGGCTGGATACCCTGCTCAACCCACTGGATCATGGTCTCCATGTTATCCTCGGGGAAGGGACCGTTGGGCTGGAGGGTGTTACGGCCGCAGTGAGCAGCACCGGGGACCAAGTACAGCTGGTACCACTCCTTCATCTGCTCGATGGCCTTGGAGGATCCGAGGCTGGGGTACATGATGCTCATGACAGACTGCCAGTAGTGCACAGAAGAAGCAGTAGGCACACTAGGGTCGTTCTCGCCGTGGTAGTGGATGAGCTTACCGCCGGTGGCCTTGAAGTTGGTCAGATCGGGGAGGGTAGTCTGCAGGGTATCCATGTAGCGGATCATGGCCACGTTCATCCATTCCACAAGGGTATCGTAGGTCACGTTGGCGAGAGAGTCGAGGTTGCTGAGTTCGACCAGTTCGATGAAGCGGGTGACGAATTCACCACCAGTTGAGGGAATGTCCACACCCCAGGTACCGGTGCTGTTATCGTAGGAGGTCTCACCATCCGAAAATTCAGATCCGATCCGGTAGCTCAGGTAGGCGCGCTCACCAGCAGAGTTGAACAAACCGTCATAGATAGCCTGAGCAACGGCCACACCCTTGGCGGTGACGTTACCGTTCTGAGCCGGGGTGTAGGAAGTCGAGGTGCCATCGCTGCGCTTGTTGAAGTTGAAACCGAGGGAGGTGCTGACTTCAGCAGCACAGTGGTAGGGCTCCCCGATAATAGAGGTCAAGTTGAACTCAAGCTGGCAGAGATCAGAACGGGAGATGACACCGTCCGTACGGCCGTCGAGGGGATCGCAAGCAGCGATGGTGGCGTTAACGATCTTCTCCAACTCGCAGGTGGGAGGGTAGTAATCAAGAGTCTGCTCGACCACACTGGAGAACAGGTGGTTGACCTGCTGCTGGCCGTAACGGAAGGCAGGGGCACCGATGATAGCACCATCGTACTGGTCACCGTAGCGCTGGATCTGACTCATACCCTGACGGCCACCGTCGGAGCAACCCTCGTAGTAGGTGTAGACCTTGGCGTCGTCATCCAAGCCGTAAAAGCTGCGAGTGAGAGGCTTTCCAATGGTAGTCATCTCACCCAGGGCCTGGTAAGCGAACATGAAGATCGGGTCCCAGTTGATGGTGCCATTTCCGGAGAGGTTAACCTCGTCGACGGTGGTGCCGTCCAAAGCACCGTAGCCGCCAGAAGTGGCACCCGAGACAGCGCCGTACTCGAGACCACCCGTGGAGGAGGTGCTCAAGGAGTATCCGAAGCCACCAGCCACGTAGAAGCGGTTCTTGAAGTCAGCGGGGCTAGGGAAGCCGTAGTTCAGGACGATCTCGTTGGTGGTACCGGTGTGGACGTAAGAGACGGACACGGCACAGTACTCAGTCGAGTCCGAGGTGGTGGTGTTGGCCGTGACGGAAGAGGGGATCATGTCAATACCGAGCAGAGTGCCATTGGCAGGGAGAATCGACTGGACATGGGAGACGGTACAGAGGGAGGCAAGGGAAGAGGAGGCAGCGCGGGCCGATGCTGCCAGAGCAACGGTCGCCGCGGCGGCGCGCGAGTATTGACGCATCGTCAGAAAAGAAGGAAGACGAAATGATTGGAGTCCGCAGACGTTTCGAAGAGAGAATGAATAGCAGTGGGATAGGGGGAATGAATGAGAAAAGCTTGGTAGAAAGATGATCAGCGGGTGGCAATGCGAGGCTATTTAACTCAGAATACTCAAAGCCTGGACCATCAACCCCTGGGCCAACGTACGTCACACCATATGGTCCATGGTTTGAAGATGTTCTTACTCCTTTTTGTTTTGTTTTCCGTCCGGCATCGCTAGTGGATTCATAGTCCTCGACAGGAGGATCGGGTCCACGCTGTTTGAGAGCAGTCTGGAGGCCTGGGCGGATCTCCTGACCGATCCTCACCTTCCCGTGTGAGAAGCTTAATCCAGTTAAACACAAGCAGGGTTTGAGACTTTTACCTATTGTTCCACTACACAACAGGGCCCCACCCTCCAAGAATACGTAAGTCACCGAGATTAGGCTATGAGCCTTGGTTCTCGAAGCAGGCAGACAGATTCTATGGGCACAGGGCTGGGATCTTGGGATTGTGGATCGTGAGGTGCCTCTGGCGTAGACTTTTTTTACCAAGTTTTCAGAGCACTGCTCTTTCTGTATTTCCCTCCCTTAGTCACTTCTTCCTACCCCTGGTCGTATATACTCTCTCTCTCTCGCAGGTTTCTTTTGGATAGATGCATGAGTTCGGTTGAGCTTCGGATTTCTATTCCCTGGCCAAGGGCTGTGGCTCATTGAGGCTAATCTAGCATGTTAGGGAGCGGGAGGCGATGCCTACGACGCAAGGGGTTTGCCGCACAAGCTAGATGCATGATCTGCGGACAGTGATTGGTGAACCTGGGGTCCCTGAGGAACCCCGGAATAAGATTTAGCAGCAAGGTTACGTGTTGCCATTATCGAAGCCTCCTAGTGGACTTTAGTGGGTTTCATGGTGGTGCCAAGAGGGCTGCAGAACGGTCGAACCGAACCTGTGGCACTCGATACACTGAGATAAGATTTGGAGATATTCGTGGGCTCCGAGGGTCCACGGATAGACTATGTGACCATACTGTTTAGGTATTATCTCCGACGCCAATGTGAAGTGAATAGAATTTTTCCGTGTCTTTTGTGTCCCACGTAATTTGGTCTAGCCATAGCATAAACCATCTGTAACCAGCATATTGGCAAGATTAAAGACTGTTCGCAGAGTTCACTAAAGAGAACAGAAAACTTTTCAAAGAGATATCCCCGAGCATAGGTCTTAGGGCCGAAGGCCAAGCCGAGGTCGTTACCCGATCGGGTATAACGCGCCGACATGGCGATGAGAGTTTTTCTGCTTCTGCCGTCAGGTCAGGCCCATCAGATATTATTCTTCACATTCCCTCGTGCCCCAATGTTAGGTACCTGCAGGAGTGGTAGTAGCGCTAGATAGTAGATAATAAAAATGACGGTTACTGAGTGGGCATTTGTCTCATTGCACCAGCTCCATGAACAGGGCCATCCAACACGGGGTAGTCGCCCGTCCTCCCACTTCATCCTAGTATCTATCTATACCCCATGACACGGATTCAGTCCGGTCCTTAGTATTCTGGTCGCCTAGTAACATTGTGACCGTCGCCATGCATGATGCTCCATTCCTGCCGAGTGACGGGGTGCCGGGAGACGGCATGTTGAAAGGTGAAGGGGCACTCATCCAGGTAAAGCCGACATCCGGCGCAACAGCATCTTCAGCATGACGGCCACGATTGGTTAATAATTGGCTTTTCGATCAGAAGTAAAATTTGAGGCGGTCTGACGGATTAAAGTTGACGGATTAAAGATGAACGGATTAAAGATGAACGGATTAAAGATGACGGATTAAAGTTGACGTTTCCCATGCCCCAAAGGCGGACACCACTGGTCAAATGCCCTAGATTCTTCTTCTCTCTGGGCGGATAAAGACTTTTACATGCGATCCACAGTAGATTAATCCCTCTCCTTGATAATTTACAAACCCATCGGTTGGCCCACATGGCTGCAAGAAGTTCATCGTAACTCATTCACAGTTTTGCGGCTCATGGGGCTATGCTATATGTGTAGATGAAGCTTCGTCAGCAGTCGTTGATGCCCCAGGTTGGGCATTTCCACAATGCACGTCCGCAGCTGTAGAGCGTCCCTTTCCTGCTCCCCATTTTGGCTCTTCCCCCGGCTTCATAGCCGCTCGTACGGTGCGACATTGAAGTATGCTTACCGTATAATATATAACTATTCTAACTCAGAAGCAAAGACGCTAGTGACAGAGTTTTTGGAACAGGGCTTCCTGTTTCAGGAAAAAGTATTTCGTTGGCTATTCATACGGCTAGACGGCTACTAAAACGGCTACTTAAAGAGTAATTAGAACAGATATATGAATGGCTATGTGGATAAACTATAGAATTCCCTTTACTAATTTTCAATAGAATCCTTCTTGATAATCTTATATATGCTTGGATGATTACTTCACCAGCAGTGAATCCTTAAAACTCATGATTTCCTACCGGCTGCCATTGCCCGCCTACATACTGGCTCATTGTTATACAGTTAGTAATGAGGCGCAGATCATTGTAGGTAAGTAGCCGAATAGACGATGACCTGAGACTATCATATACCCTTTTACAATTCCTTCTCCATCCGAAAAACAGAGAATATTAGTCAATGCGCCGAACATTTTCCCGCATTACCCCAGAGATGATGAATGCACCATCGAAAGCCTGTTTACTTTCCAGTTTCTACATCTTGCACCCGCACACTGCCGAGGGAAGACGCTCCACTTCATTCTTATCTATTCATATTCAGCCTGGATACGAGTCAATCGCATTCCTAATTCGTCGCTATTACCTTCATGATTATGGGTCAATAGTCTTTAACACTGAATAATGGTCTCAGTTTATTCTTGTTTACGGCCGATGAACTGGCTGCCTTTGGCACCCCTCTCTCCAAAGCAGAGATACATTCACCTCCATTCCCTTTGTTTAAAATTACTTCTTCTCCTTCAGCCATACTACTCTTGCGTGCATTGAAAATTCTTAACTGCTAATCCTTACATT